TTCGATTACAGTCAAGTAAAGGCCAAAGTGGTACAAAGTACAAAAAGGAATAAAAGAAAACTCCTTTAGTTCTGTCTGGATTAAAAACTTGAAATGCATCGTCTATAATAACCCTTTTAATATTTAGGTGGTTGTTTTTTTTTTTCCCTTGGCAGACAAACTGGCACATCAGCACAGCGATGTTAAATCCCCTGTATCAATAGTTCAGTAATAGCTGTGTAACTGACTTATAATGAAACTGATCGAGGTCTACCTTGATCTGAGCAATCACAGCATGCCTTAATCAGGATTTGGGATCAGTTCCATCTGCAGTAATAGTAGAAGTAATAACAATACATGTTTACACTCTACCTACAAATACTTAATATTGACAGAAACCACTTTGTTGGTTTTCTCTCTTTGTGGTAATGGACTATTCCATGTTGTGTTGCAGGTGTCATCAGTCCGTCAAGAAGAAATGAAGATCTCAACAGATGAAGTCAACAAAATCCTCAGTGATGTCCAGCAGATGAAAGGAAAACAGGAAACTATTGACTCCAGGATCATTGCCATGAAACAGTAAGAATCAGAAGCGAAACTGCATCATGTGCTTACCTTACCTCACCTAGTTATTTTAGGTTGAGTTTTATTCAAACAACCTTTGAGGTGTTAAATGGTATATTAGACACCCTTTTAGAGAAAAAACGATTTTAAACCAGAAAGTTTGCTTATAGCCGAGCATACACTCTACGATTTTTTTCCCCCCTTTTCGGGCCGACTTTCCAGATGTGCGAGAATTTTTCGATTGGGCTGACTTTCAGCCTGATCGTGCATCATGTATTGTACGGGGAGTAACGAGGGGCAATCATCCTCTCACGACCGCCTTCGATTCAGGAATCGTAAGGTCGGGAGAAAATCAAACTTGTTTGATTTTCAGTCAGCCGTTGTGGGCAAATCGCTCAGTGGACATGCACAAACAAGGATACTTCTTCTTCCTCTCAGATGAAAACAAAAGCATGGCTGGGGTGCAATGAGTGAAATGAAGTTCTTTCTGTAAAATTGACAGACCGTAGTAGCCACATTAGCTCAGCCATGCCTTTGTCCAAATACACTGTTGCCTTTTATTTTTAGGGCTCTCAGCACAAAATTGCACAAATTGCCAAGGCAGCGCTTTTCACTCTAGTGAGCTTCATATTCCTCTTCTACTAGTGGGGCTTCCGGATAGACGAGTCAGAGTAGCACCATCTCACTGTGGAGCTGAGGCCGACGTGGGTTTTAGACGTACAGTGTGAGCAGGTAGATCGCACAGAGCGTCGGGTCGCACAGTGTGAGAACATCCATCGTGAGCTGTGAACTCGCACTGTATGACGAGCTGTAGCTGCGTGCAACAATTGAAAAATATCGGAAAGTATATGCCCGGCTTATGTTTTTATCATTTTTAAAAATCATTCCTTTGCTCATTTCTACTTATTTAGTTAACATCCATTAAACAATTATTCTCTGTAAGCACAAGACTTAAAGTCTAACAAGTTAGGCTATAATTCTCTGTTCTCCTGTTAAATCTGGGCCTTAATTTAGCGTCCAAAGTGTTTGTTTTCTTTTAACCACAACTGTCCCTCCTTTAACCTCCCCATATCCTTTTCTGTTTCAGTGAGAATGAGGCTTTATGGAGGGAGGTGGCCAGTCTGAGACAGAAACATGTTCAGCAACAGAAAGTTGTCAACAAGGTATTGAAATGCACAGACCAATCTTAAAGTTATAATGAAGGATGTTGTTTTTCTGGGTTGATTATCTAAATAATTGTCAATCATTCTTGTGATATGTTTATGCAAGGCTTACCGGAGTCTGACATAGTGGAAAACTTGCTTGTATGAGTGATGCAAACAGCGACTTGTAAACAGACTGTGCAAGAGGAGAAATGGGCTCGTGCATGCTTTTGGACCTGTTGTAATAGGCGTTCCCTCTCGGGAGTGGGTAAAGGGTTGTGCATGTGCATTTTTAAAGTGGAGAGAGCGGGTCTTTTTAAAAATTTGAGAAAATCCTCCACTATACCTTTAATGATTGAAGAAGGAGGCTGCTTAGATTAGTTTTGCTCATACAGCATTGAATAATGGTATGCGTTTTAGTAAATGTTAGCCAATGGAAAGTATGCTGCTCAAAACATTGGACAAGCGCAGAGTGTTCTCAGCTTTTTAAAACAATGATTTTGACCAAATTTTATTTTGCACTGCTGGTCAGATGGATGAAAGAAGATAACTACACCCTAATTTAAAAGTCATAAATACCTACTAGGTTGGGAATATTTATATATTTTTTTAAGATGCAGACAATAGTGATTGGCTTAAAAAAAAATAGATCACCATCCTGTCACTCTGATTAGCAAAACCCTATTTAAACTGCAGTTTACTACCTGCTGGCCAGGTGTCTTCTAAGCCTTTTTTAATGGTCGTCATTTCTATCTTAGCAAACCCCTAGAACTGTCAATGGTGTTCCCCAAACAGACAAAGTCTAAAATCTTTATTTCAAACAAAAGTCTATAGTAATTATTTGACCATTTTGCTGAATCTTATTTTCTTCTCTCAGCACCACATAGGGGTGTGGGAAATAATCGTTTTGGCGATTTATCGTGATATTCGGCTGCCCAATATAATATTGATCTTTCACTTCTTATTATCGATTGTTGAACCTAAATGTTGTCCATCAAAATTGGTTTAAAATGGCAAAGGCTCCATTGAAAACAAGACAGGCATCATCCATAAAGAGAGCAGATTAGGTGAAACCACAGATATTTTGTCATTCAAGCTGTGTATTCAAACAAAGCCCACATTCTGGGAGAGTATAAACGATCATTGTTTGATGCAAGCTGCATCGTTTTTTTATGATGACATTGTAGCTATACCTACCTCTGTTACCCACATGCACCTCCTAACCTCCATGGTGCCATGGTTACCTTGAACCAGTTATTTGCGAATCCCCCGTGTTTTTAGTCAGAGGTTTGGATGTGATTCTGTGGTGGTGTCACAGGACCATCAAAGGGCCTGGCATAATGTACTACAGTGTCCTAGTTGGTGCTGTTAATACTTGTGTGGTGAAAACTTTTTTCTAAGCTGTTTGTTAAATTTAATGTGTTCCTATTCATGTGGTCTAGGCCTTAGATTAACTATAGGGCTCTTTAAGGGAAATTAGACATTTGCATGTGAGACATTTGCAAAAAATTAACTAATCGTCCCACACCTACAGAAACACTGTAACTTTTACCCACTAGGCAAGCTAAACCGATACCCTCCAGGTCTGCACAAAGCCACGCTAATATGGTTTTGAAAAGTTGTTCACTGAACTAATTAGAAACTGTCTTTTTGTTTTGTTTTTTTGCAGCTGATCCAGTTTCTGGTGTCTCTCGTTCAAACCAACAGAATCATTGGAGTCAAGAGGAAAATGCAAGTCTTTTTTCAAACACAGCTTGACATCTTAAATCAGACTGGAAATACAACTAGATTTATATGTGAATACAGCAAACTAGGATCTATATTTTGTAAACAGTCGGATAATACTTTAGTAATATTTTGTATTATTGTAACATAAATTAAACTCAGCTAACAGAGTTCATTTTTTTTTCAGATAATTTGTTTAGAGTTTCAAACAATATGATCATACATGCACCTTATAACGTGGCCTATATTTGCTTTCTCCACCTGCAGTCCTCTGATGCTCAATGATTCCAGCTCTGCCCACTCTATGCCGAAGTATAGCCGGTCCCTTACAATGGAGCACATTCAGGTAATGAGCCCTGATTCTACAGCTGGTAAAATAAGTATTGACCATGTTATCATTTTTCTCAGTAAATATATTTCTAGAGATGCTATTGACCGGACATTTGCACCAGATATCCAGAAATGAATTTATGTGTAATAAAGTAAAATGGAACAGGGAAAAAAATATTGAACACACATACTGAAATTTATTTAGTACTTTGTACAAAAGCCTTTGTTGGTAATGATGGTAGGGTTAGGGGTCATAGAATGACCCCTAACATTTTGGAATGACCCCTAACCGATGCAAACAGCAACTTTTAAACTGAGCATGCACGAGGAGAAAAGGGCTTGTGCATGCTCTCGCATGTGTTTAGTAGGCGTTCCCTCTCGGGAGCGGGTACAGGGTTGTGCATGTGCTTTTTATTTTTTTCAAAGTGGAGGGGGGGGTCTTTTAAAAAAAAAAGGTTAAAACTGGAAAAAAAAATGTAAGACTAAGAAGGAGCCATTCTCAGATCTATCAGAGCTACTGGGGTCTGGCAAACCCTTAGCTCCATCTCAGATGACTTCAACCAACTATTTCCTATTGATGCAGAATCCTTTCATCTCCATGTTTGCACACTAACCAGAAATATATATTTATATATTTTGGACCGATCAATTGATTTAATATCCTATTGTATAAATTTAAATACTATATATATTTTCAGTAAGGTAAGTACTTTTATACCACCCTAGAGTTTCTGCTGCTATTATTTTTGAAAAATTGTTCTTAATAAAGGTTGAAGCTATAACCTTTAATGCACTCCTTGTATTTCCATTGTCCAAAGTGACTACTACTAGCATATTTCACAGTTTCTTTTTAGCTAACATAATTTATAGGTTAACTCCCAGAGGGAATGATTAAAATAAAAGCAAGGTTTTAAAATGATTTCTGTCATTTATATAGTTTTCATAATAATTGAATAGTGTAAATTTGATAAATCGAATTTGGTGTGTTAAAAATAATCAGACTTCTTTCGGGCATCATATAATCCAGTCCTACTCTGTGGGGATCTGTGTAACCCTTATTTTCTCGATTGATGTTAATTTCAGAACGCAGCTGCCAATCTGCTCGCTGCAGACTCGACCTTAAATTCTGGACCGATCATCTCAGACATCACGGAGGAACCCCCTTCCTCCCCAGAAGAAGCAGTCGCTGACTGGACTGACCTAGGGTGAGGACTTAAGAGATCCGCCTCCTTTATTTATTTTTCATGCAGATATATATGTAAGGCTTCCCTGTATATCTGCAGCGAGAACCATGCAACTTTCATCAAAGAGGAACCATCCAGTCCCGAGGTGGAGGAGTGTCCTGTTCTTGAGGTTGAGCAGGACTCCCTCCCAGCAAACGAAGACACCCCTCTCTCCCCCACCACCTTCATCAACTCTATTCTTCAGGACGAGACACCGCCGACGCAGGTCACGTCCTCCACCGCCACCACAGCTAATTCCACCAACACCCCAGCAGGTAGAAACTAATATACAGTCCTACAAATGTTTCAAAGTATTTATGGAGCGCTGTTTAAACCTTGGATCATAGGTCTGGTGGAAGAACAATGAACTTTACTATAAGCTATTAGATGTATACATATATAATAGCTGGCTAGGTGACATACACAAATGTTTGCAGTTTCTCTATCATATGGAAGAACTTAAAGGTTTAACTAAATTGCTATGCTTTGAAGAAAACGATTACTGCACATCACCCTGAATGCAGCATTTCTGTGGTGAAACATGGTGGTGGCACCATCATCTCAGGGGTATGCCTTTCTCCAGCTGGTCCCAAATAAGAATCTTGGGCAAGATCTGAGAATTATTTTTCATCCATTATAATGGAGTTGGAACTTCTTTGGAAGAAAGAGGCAAAAATTTCAAGCTTGATGATACATATATTTGCAGATGTGAATTTCAGAAGACCATGCATGCTTTTCCTTCTACATCCAAATGTTGCACTATTTTTTTTTTTTTGCTTCTCATTAAATTCTGTTAAAGTTTAAAAACAATCCACTGGACTTGGTTTCCAAGGTTTGAAGACGTTTCGCATCCCCTCCAGGAAGCTTTCTCAATTCAAATGAATGACTATGACCTGGATGCCTGAGAATCTTCATCAGCATATTCTCATTAAATTCCACTTCCAACAGATTAAATGTGAAAAGATGTAGCAGTATAAATACTTTTTGCTAAGCCCTGAATTAGATCTTCTAAATGAATTTTGATCATTCGCTTTAAATTTTCACCCTGGTAACCTTTGGTCCATCTCTGTTTTGCAGCCATCCCTGTTGTTGTGGTGAGCCCTTCCACCACTGGGGTTCCGACTCAGCCAGCTCAAACCATCAAATCTCCGGCCCCTGTTGCCTGCTCCAATCCTGCTTCGGCCCCCAGCCCCGCCACACCTAAACAGAAATGTCAGACCATCGCCCGTCTAGACAGGTTACTACTTTAATCATTGGGGACAGCAGGAAGTGCTGCTGTTGCCTTGCTTCTGTTAGCTGCTGCTGTGTTCTCATAATAAACCCACCAGTAGCCATAACTTGGGAACCTTATCTGCTTAAATTAGGGCAAACATCAACTATTTTCAGCCTACCAACCAATTAGAAACAGCTCAATAGCTCCCTTCCGAAATGTCATATAATCTCAGATTCTTTTTTCTTTTTTGTACGTCACTTAATTAGTGGTGCAGCTGCGGTAAAAGCACAGCCTCCTTAGAGTCTTTTTTAGTGACGTGTACTTGCATTGCAATCCCAACATATGAGATCTTGTGACATTTCTCATCGGGTAATTGTGAAGTGTTTCATTAAAAATCCTTGTGCTTCTCTTAGGTTCCTCCCCCCACCTCCTGCAGGTGGACTCTCACCTGATGTTTGGCGCATCCTATCGAAACTTCCTGAAAAGTGAATCTTTCAAATGATTATCTTAGACTGCATGTAAAAGATGGAGCCAAGCCATTTTTTCCCCCCACTTCTGACCTGCAGAGGCTTGTTTCTGTGATATTTAAAAATAATCGGAGTCAGACAAACCGATTTAAACCAACTTGATTCATAGGTTGTCTGTTAGAATGCAGAAATCATCTTGCTATGCAGAGGGACTGCTGGGTTTCTCTGAGGTCTGCCTGCTGCTAAACAAAACGCTAACTGCCAACTTCTTGCACAAAAAATTACAGCCTCCAATTTTCGGACATCATTGTGGCTAAAGCTTTCTTTTATATAGAGTCTAAGATGATTACTGAACTTGTAGGGTATATATTTATTTCTATCTCTGGTGTCATTCTGCATTTTCTCTTTTTGTCTTTTATTTCAATAGTAAGCAAAAACAGCACTACAATTTCAGAAGTTACACAGTTGAATTTAAAGTGCAGCATCAATTTGCTGCTTAACTTTATATTCAGGAAAATATTTTAATATATAGTCTGCTCAGTGTTTAAGAACTCTGACTTTTTGCACCTCAGTCATGTTTTTCTTTTTGTTTGTTATACAGATCAGAGATCATTTTAATAAGGCTAGATTGTGTTTATAAGAAGCTTTGAAAAGTCAGATTTCCAGTAGAATTGATCTGAGTTGAGGGATCAAAGACCTTAATTTTATAAGCAGCTGGACATGAGTTAAACAAACAGTTTTCTTAATACGGACAAAAGAAAAAAATGTAGAATAACATCAGACCCAACATGACATCTCATGCCTGTCTCTCTCCCTCTGATTTTGTCCCAGGCATGAACTCTCTGACCACGTCGACAGTATTGACAACGGCTTAGAAAACCTGCAGAGTATTTTAAACTCTCAAACCTTCACCTTTGACCCGTCTCCCTTCATGGAGGTAACTCTGTCTGTATTTAATTTATTCCAATTCGTGAATCTCTGATTATCAGTATGCATATTTATTTATGGAAATGTTTTGTGTGTCTTCAGTTTTTCAGTTCATCCGTTCCTTCTGGAGACTTTGACCTTGAAAGTTTGGATAATGTACGTTTGATTTTACATATGTATTACACCTTTAGCTTTCCTCCTTATCCTCCTTTCCTTCTTATGACAATAGACACCTAATCAGTATCAATAGAAAATATGTCCATTAGGGTGTCCCATATTAAGATGAACTCATTGTGGCATCTGAGGGAGACAGAGGACTGGTATAAGAGACCAAACAGGAAAATAAAAGGAAATAAAAGAAAAATAAAAATTGGTTTAGTTACTCATGTTTCTCCAAATGATAAATAATTTACTTGAAGTCATTCTTATTTTAAGCTATCAGCATAATCTGTTTAATATGCAGGATGTTGCTGTCTGAAATTGTGTTAAAATGTCAAGAGGCATCCAAGAGGCTCAATGTCTTTATCAGACCGCTTTATCCTGAAAACTACTTTTTTTTTTTTTTTTAAGAGACTGCCGTCTCTGATGGATTATTCTGACCCACTAATCCGGATGAAAATCTGGGGGGTTTCTCAGATGCGTCACTAATAAGACTGTTTTGATTTTGCACCAGTTTGATTTAAGAAACTGTTTGTTTTCAGCTGCTTTCTGATGAAGTCCCTAAAGAAAGTGAAAATGGAACAGGTAACTACTGCTTCTCTTCATTTGGACCAAGCATTGGTTCTAGCATTGCTTTTTTCATGGTGACCTTTTCCATTTGTAATTGGTGCAGGGAAGCAGCTGGTGCAGTACACTGCCGCACCCCTCCATGTGACCGAGCCAGTGGTTCTGGGGGAGGCAGACACTGACCTCCCGTCTCTTCTGGAGTATGAGACGGAGCCGCTGTTTAACACTGACACGGCAGCGGGCGACCCACCCGAGGTCTTACTGAGTCCCAGCCAACTGGACTCTAGCCTCTAACACCCTCAAGAATGTAATGACTCCTCAGTAACCACAGGGCACTGAGCCCCAGCTCAGCAGCAGCAATAGACAATGACTAAATTGATGGGTTGTAGATCAATCATTAGGTCAAAGGTCATGTTTTTATCAAGCAGATGTTATTAATCGATATTAATCCATTTCTATACTCTAGGATTATTTTAGGTTTTATTTTGTGTTTGCCACCTAAATCGAGACCTTTCTTTGTTTCTTGTTGTACAAAAAGATGAAAAGTAAAAAAAAGAAAAAAACTGTGAGAATCCTAATAAAACGGGGTCACATGTACCTGCTGGTGTATTCAGGGACAGATCTGGGAGCAGACGTAGTACATATGATGTCACAGTAAAGGTGAGCCAGGAGCATGTGACCCAGACGCTTTCTGCTCTGCATGTTTAAGTCGAATTTGCTGGCTGTTTTTTTTTTTCACTTGTATAATTTAAACATAAAGAGAGAATCAGAATATTTTTGGAAAAGTTTATTACAGAGTGTTTAATCGTCCTGTTTGTCCATCATCAGTGGAAGCAGCAGAAAGGGACGCTTTGATTGAGATCTGAACAGATTTCTCTGTCCTCACGAGCCATGCTGCAGGTTTCCTGCAGATCTTCTGACTAAGTTTTATCTGGACCCCTGATTAGGCATGGGCCAGTATAAAATTCCTATGGTATGTAAAAATACCACTATGCACACAATTTAAAACAACAACGTATGACATTATCTAACTGTTTTGATTTAAAACGATGGCGGCAAATATTTCCCTGAGGCTCAAACTTACTGCATCGATGTTCTCTATTAAAATAGATTTTTTCCTTTTTAATGCATAGACTTCAGCTGAAATGTAGAATAAAAACTTGCTAGTTTCAGTAATTTATTTCCAATATTTAATGTACAATAAGCATTTAAGTCCTTATTGTACCAAATACTCCTTTATGTGTCTTTATTTTTATTTTTTTGGCAACTGATGGTAAAAGAGGAAAGGGGTTCTGGAGTTTAATGTGTGCCAGCTTATTGCCGGAGTGCAGCAGCATGTAGGGGAGGGGTAGCACTGCATTACTCTATGTAGCTGGTGAAAATCTGTCTCTTCTTATACCTTATGTTTCATCTTCTCAAAAAAATGAAGAAACATAAAGACAGAATATTTCGTCGTTTTGTGGAAACTTTACTTTTTAAAACCTTGGTGGACTTTAATGCTGGCAACCGGCCCATGCCTACTCCTGACAGTCTGCTGCACTCGGCTCTAACACTGCTGGAGTTTGAGAGAAACATGGAGTACGTCCAAAAAGATGAGGGGCAGAAAAGTTCTGGGAATATGTATGTTTAATTTGTTTTGCTGAAGAGAATTGATGGCACCATTCACTCAAAAAATGCAAGCTTTTTAAATACACAATTTTCTCTTATCAGAAAGGTTCAATGTATGATAAACTGGTCTAAAATGTCAGCAAAGTCTTAGTCTGTCAGCAAATCTCAATTGTTTGCAGTCCTGCACATTTTGGATTCTGTCTTTTTCCAAACTGTAGCTTCAATAATACAGCTCTACCACTAGAGAACAATGTGTAATGGTACTTTTACTTGATTCCAGTTTTAGATCAGTGTTGCTAAAACCAGGAGCAGATTTATGGTGAAACTTACTTCAGGATATCAGGTGTTTCGTTTCAGTTTTAATGAAACATATTCAAGACTGTTGTTACTGTCAATAGCGAGGATTCTTGTTTTCTGTTATATTCGTAAAAACTCTGTTTTATTTGGAGAAACTTCAAACTTAAGTACTGATGGGTGATTAGAGCTTAAAGTGAAGTGTAGCTCCTACTGACAGATATTTAATTTAAAATGTATAAGGGAAGCTGGAGTGTGATTGAGCAGGTGTAACTTGAGCACCTCAACGGCAAATAGGTATGTTACCATGTTTGACCACATTGCTTAAACAAGGGCTGCACAACGTTAAGGAGAGAGATTGCAATTTTATTTCAAGAATTCAGTGATGGCATTATTGATTTGGGATTCAACCTCCTTTTCCTCCATTTAATATTCTTGTCAGCACTCCACCCCTCTCTAAGCGGTTTAGCATAGAAAATCTTTGAATCAGACGGGGAGATGCCTTAACAGTGGAGGGACATCCAACTGGCCAAACTACAAGTACATCATAACAACTAATTATTGAAAGGTGGATTTATTTTTTAAATTCAGTTCAAAGAGGTAAACTCATATGCATTACACACAAAGACACGTTTCTAGTAGTTTTTATGGTTATGTCCTTTAGTCAATGTATAAAATTATATATATTATATATAAAAATTTCAGCAAAACAAAAAACTTTTAACACTTAAGTTTGAGCCCTCCAACTAAGTCCTTGCACTCAATACTAGGTTGGGCTCCTCTTCCATGAATGATGCAGCGTGGCATGGAGATGATCAACCTGGAGTCCTTCTACCTCGTAATGAAAGCCCAGGTTGCAACCTTCAGTTCACCTGTGTTTGGTTTATTGTTTCTCATCCTCACCTGACATCTCAACAAATTTCCATAGATTGTCTTTAGTTTGTCATGTCAGTTTCATGAGTTGCCATTGGCAGCAATACATTCTGTCATTGGTGAGAGGTAATGTGGGCTACTTGGAAATCAAATCAGCATCTCCATCAGTCCAATATTTCCTCAGTCCAATTCTATGTTGGTTCCATTGGTCGCAGCAGTCTGAACAAAACACCTTTATCTTTGACCTGTTGTGACTGAGTCAAATCAGCAGACTTTTCCACGCCTTGCAGCTGTTTCTTGATATGCATTTTTGGATAAATTCTGTTTTGTTATGTAATAACATTTTCCTAGAACCTCATCTTGATTCCACTGGATGCAAGCCACAGTAAACCAAAAATGATTGAAACATGCTTGAAACAAGCACTTTGTGTGTAATAAATGCATATGAGGTTCATTATTGATCATTAAAAAACTAAAATCAACTTTTTTGAATGCGTTGTCTATTAAATGCTTCAGAGTTTGAATCATTTTATACTTGCTTTTTCAGGCAGCCTAATCTCAATACATTTCCAAAAAAAAATCCCAGATTTAAGAATTTCTCTAATTAAATGTAGCTAAAAAATAAATTAAGCACAGTCTAGGACAGTGAAGTGGCTCCTGTTGTTCTGAATCATCAATCCTCAGATGCCTACTGGTTTGTCAGATGCTGTACAGAATTGAGGCTCTCTGCCATGTAAAATTCACAATAAATAATATATTGACTTTGCTTGATTTTGTTTTTACTTCCAACCAACAAGCCATCTGTATTTAATTTACCTGACAACTCTCTACATGTAGGAGAGAGGAGGGTTGAATGTTGAAGTGTTCTGGTTGCAAAACTTTTGTTAAATAAACCGTTTTAAACACAGCCGGCCAAAGTGTGATTATTTTAAATCCGCATTAATGTATTAAGACAAAACCTTCGTACTTTAAGAAAAGAACGATTTGATGTTCAAAATAGACAAAACTTTATTGTAGAAGTTCAAACATTTACAATTAGTTCTGTATGATGGCAAAAAAACAAACAAAATTGTCAGTTGGTCGACATTCATCTAAAATATTTTTTTTGTAATTCCCATTAAAGCGGGCCTTTGTCATTTCCAAACCTGTGTGAGTTGGTGGTGACTTAAGTGGGTGAGGTCTTTACATAGCACTAAAAAGATGGCAAGTGGTGAAAACACTTGGTTAATACAAACTTATCAGGCACGTTTTGATGCCAAACAACATTTTAATGGCACTATGCTTTATTGCAACTTTGGAAATGAACAGCAAGTTATATATAGGCTATTTTATTCGCTTTTATTTTGTGAACAATTAAACAATACACGTTAATTCTCTTTCCTCACTTCTAGCTGGATCATGCACCAGTGATGGATAAATGAGAAGACCAAAGATGGTCTAAAACAAAATAAACGTCCATAAACCACGTTTTCTTTTTTAAATATTTAAACAACAAAAGGGAATAGTTGTCATTTGGAAGGAGGTGGGGGTCTACAGCTAGTGGGTGGAATCAGAATTCCTGGGCCATGCTGATTTGTCGGTACACGGAATTTGAAAACGAATTAGCCGCACGCTGGGCTTGATGTGGAAGTCAGCAGGTATCCTCCAGTTCCACATTTTCAGCACCTGAGAAACAAATACGTTTCAATGAAAGTTCCATGAAAAAAAAAATTAAAATTAAGAATTAGTTTTTTTTTTCAGTTTAAAACCCCAACAAAATTTTTCATTAAGACAAATGCAAAATGTTCAGATGTATAAGAAAAGCTGTTGAAATACATTTTTTTTTATTATTGATAAATGATAACCATAAAATGAAATAAGACATTTCACACTGATAAGTTATGCAATATTCTTGAGCTTGTTTAAATTTTCACGGCTGATGACAATAATAAAATAACGTTTCCTTAAATGGTCTCTTACTCTGCTTTTACAAATAGTTCAAAAAAGAGGTTAAAACCATAAGATGACCAATTGCTTTGAAGTGAATAATGACTCAGCAAAACTGGATTTTAAAGACCCGTTGAGAGACTTTGTTTCATTATCTAATATCTTTATACAAATAGCTTTTTATGCAATTACCTACAATGATTTCCTGTTTACAGTGAATCATTTGAAAGAATAATCCAAATAAACAGTGTTTTACAAAAGAACTTCAAATCTCACTAAATTCAGACAGAATTTGGATAGCTGTGAAGCTCCTCCGTTGTGTAGGCCCTTTACACTAAATAACTCACAGGACGTATTTTTCTTTTGCACACTAGTAAAGAGTATTATTTTCTTTTGGTTTGTGTGGAAACCATAAGGATAGTAGCTGCACAGAGCTGCGCTTACCCACCAAAATGGAGCTTGGACACACACGTGGGGATAATGTATAGATTCAGTGGAGCTGAATAAAATACATGCCACACTTTTTAAAACTGTCATTCTTATATACATTATAATATATCAAATTCCTTTGATTTGACAATAATTCACCACTTTGTCTGCCTGACATACACATTCTCAATAAAGCACATTCCAAAGTCTGGCTGTAAATTGATCAGTGTAAATAAAATAAAAAATAAAAAAACGCCCAAAAGGGGGGGGATACTTTTGTAAGGTCCAGATTAAGCTTGAGAGCAGTGGTTCTGAGTGAGCTGTCACTGACCTTCAGGACCCTGACCAGATGGGTTGTACTGTTCAGTGACTGAACCTGGAGAGGACAAGCCCAACCAAGAGAAGAGAACAAGCAAGCTTTCAGCAACTGATCTGAGGTCAGACACTAACAGAAAAACAAGCATCTCAGCCGCTCCTGTTAAAAAGAAGCTAAGAATCCAAACCACCGTTTAGAGTACATGCATATAAAAGTTTGGAAGGTGTTGGTAAACGGGTTTGTTGATTAATTTCACTGTTTAAGATCTTGAAAGTCAGAGATTCAATGAAAACTTGGCAGAAATACAGACTTGTGATTTTTTTTACTACATTAAGTTAATCGTGAACTGGTGCTGAGAGTTTTAAACCTAATTCATGTGTATATTAGCATTTGTAAAGCAAACTTTCTATTTATGTCTTCTTAAAAACAAAACAAAAAAAAGCCTGTCAGAAATGTAAAAGACTTTTAAAGATTATAAAGAAGTTAATAGTGGCTGAAATTTAATATGTTAAAAATAAAACGTAGATCAGAAACTAACCACAAAGTTCTGATTGGTGCATCTCAAATATAAAACTTACCAGCCATTTGTGTTTGATCCGTCCCTGCTAGATGTCCTATAAAGAAATGCAAACATTCCCTTTTTATTAAGTATGTATTATATATACATTAAGCCAAATAGATCTACAGAAAGGAGTAAGGTAATTTACATATGATGCAAGTTACTCTTAATCTAAAAAGAACCAAAAATAAAAACTTACTGGAGTCAAACGGAGTCCCTGATGGATGTGCTGTAACTAAAACACAATGAGAGTTAATTAGATAGCCTGACCTCCGACCTGGCTTCTGGAAGGGATTCTGAATTGATGAGCCTTACCTGTGTCTGTACCTGTGGAGTCTGCCATTACAGTAACCGGATCTGTGTTAGAGCCAACAGCTGAAACTGGAAAAGGGAAGAAACACAGCAGTGAGACGGGAACAGTAAGCGGTCAAACATCTGCACAGGCAGGCAGGCAGACAGACAGACAGACAGACAGACACTCAGGCAGGCAGGGAAGCAGACAGGCAGGCAGGCAGACAAACAGACAGACAGGCAGGCAGGGAAGCAGACAGGCAGGCAGACAGACAGAAAGGCAGGCAGACGGACAGACAGACAGGCAGGCAGTTGTACCTGGGCTCAGCGTGTTGGTGACGGCCGCTGCAGACTCTATATTCATAGTGATGGGAGACAGCTCTGTAACCCACAACCATCAGAGTTAAAAGACACAAACTTATCAAATATGTTAAATAATTCTCCATCATCGACCTATACCTGTAATATCACGGCCAGGACCTGAATCTGGATTGGAGCAGAACATAGAAAGTCAGTTTCATTCTGAGAATTTATCTCTTCTACTATTTTGATTGGGTCATCTTACTTGTGAGGTCAAGATGAAGAGCGGTTACTGTCTCTGTTCCACCTACAGACATCATCATCGTTATTATAATGAATAAGGAATATTTAATTTAACTTACTTTCATTTACACTTTAATCATCATCAATGAAATAGGGTAATTTGTCATTGTTTGAGGTAGGCCAGCATAAAGTTTTGATTTTATGCAGGTCTACGTCGCAGAATTGCAAATAGTATCAATAATACAGAGCAATGCTACCGGTAACCTCCTGGGCCCTAAAGAGCTAATTTTTTAGGTAATGCAAAACAACAAAAACATGAAAGAAAAGCTAAATACATACACCAGCAATAATATCTTTATTGCATTTTTTATTGCTTCTACAAATGTACCTTTAATGAGTTTATGGTTTATTTAACCAACAGCAAGGCTCTAAATAAAAACGCGGCAATTGGCTTCTCTTCCATTATAATGTAACTTTAATGAAATTTTCCTCTCTTCTTTGCAGGTCTGGGTGACTAATCGATAAAATCAGTTAACCCTTTAAAGCCCGATCCAAGAATAAAACAAAACAGAAAATTACTTTTTTTTGGTTTGAAGTCCTTATTTGGCCTTTTAACAAAATATGTAAAAGGAAAAAAAAACAGAAATACATTTTTGATATTAATAATTTATTACTATGCGATAAGTCAAGATTATTTTTTGTGTAGTCTTCTACTGGCTGTTATCAGGTATATCTGATTGTGTACAATAGGATTTTGAGCACAGTTTTTACCATTAAATTATGCAAAAGGTGTCAGACGCAAAACATTTTAGAAACCGTATGTATCAAATATGATATATTTGGCATTACAGGGTTAACAGAATTTTTTTTTTTTACATTTTTTGGAGAATCTGGATTATTTTTTAGCTTTCCACTCCTTCGGCTTCCATAGCTCAGAGGGATCTCAGTGTATGGATTTTTGTTTGCTTAGTGATGTTTGCTTATAACTAATAAACTAGCTTACTGTGTGATACAACTTGTCACCAAAGCTGAGTATGATATTTTTAAGTTGTTTGTTGTAAAACATTATTATTTTACAAGCATGTTTCACAGCTTGAATTTCATTGTCACCTCCCAGATGGGATGATTGAAATCAAAGCTTTTTTTTTTCAAGTTTAATATGTGTCATGTTATTATTGAACCTAAGTGAGTAAAAACAATCGATTTATCAGATTTCGTAAGAAAAATAAAATTATATCTGACATTAGATTTTTAAGCCACATAACCCAGCCATACTGATTTGTGATCTTTGTAAATAAACAATGTTGAAGCCATCCAAGCCAGATCTTAACTACCTAATCCAGGTTAAATAAAGGAAATGAATGATATTATTAAAATGTAGAGGGGGGTCAGAATCAATAGTAGTTAAATTTAATTTAATTTTTTTTATCATATAGCTTTCTTTTAAACAACACTATTTATAAATGTCTTTATTGGTACAATAAATAATTATTATTTAAGAAGGTGAATTTGTTTTAAATTACAAAATGGTCATTCTAAGAGAATGAATCACAGATAATAAATAAAGTCAAAACGATAGAAACAAAAACATTTCTATAAAGCAAATTTTTTACCAAATCAAATGAAAAATGAATGGAAGAAGCTGAAAGAGTTGTTCTGCCACTGATGAATTTTTTTTCTGTTCTGTCATGATTTTACAGCCTCTGTGCTTCAGCAGCAAACATTATCAGAGATCCAACCCATTTAGTTCTGTTTAACCCCCAGTGGTCACACGCTAGTGATACAGCAGGTCTACCTGTTAGATCAGTTTGCATTAGCAAGTTCTGGGTGTGAGCATCGCCGAGGGAACTCATTCTTTCTGTTACAGCTGCAAAGACAAAAAACAACGAAGTTTAATCTGAAGAAAAAACAGATGTTTATAAATGTGTTCAACCTTCAAGTAAAAGTAAGTTTAATCAAAGCCAGCTGTTGAGCTGTAGAAAGGGGTTGATTCTCACATGAGACTTTGAATAAATGTCATAATTATTTGGGTGAATAGAACGTGTTTTCCTTCATTGAAAACACTGTATATGTACAAATTTGACTCATTCACATTTGGTGTAGCTTGCTAAGTAATAACAAATAGCAAATATATTTAAAAAAGGGTTAAACCACCTTATATTTAACTATTTTCCAACACAGCATAAATAAAAGACTGTATTATTTACTCCAATGCTCCAATGAACCCTGCAGTCAATCAAAACAATTACAGCCAGTTGGAGAATACAATCAAATGTTATAAATAAACCCTGAGAAAAAGTATATTTAGTTGAGAATGATTATTTTTAATCCCAAACACTCCCTAATTGGACAAANACAATCAAATGTTATAAATAAACCCTGAGAAAAAGTATATTTAGTTGAGAATGATTATTTTTAATCCCAAACACTCCCTAATTGGACAAACAACTCCTTTCCCTTAGACACCTTGTATGAAGCTCTGAGGCCCGAATGAAGGCTTTTTTAAGTAAGTAAATGTAAAATCAACACTCAAAAATCAATATATGTAAAAGGGAATTTTATAGATAGATTTTTTTTTGTTCCCACCACATTTGAGTATATTTTTTTCTTTTGGTTGGATAGTCTGTGATTAAAATTCAGACAACTTTAATAAGCCTAGTATGCTAATCATTTGTAGCCATTCACACCCAACATCCACTTAATTACTACAATCATTAAGTAATTGAACAAGAACACTGTTTATAAAACCAAAGATAAGCATATGCAACAAAGATGAAAGTTTTTGGCCCAATAAATAAATAAATAAACACTATCAAAAATCCTTGTTTCTTAAAAAAAATGCAAAAAATCCATCAGATAACATTGATCAGACCTGAGATTTGCCCGTCCTTCAGCTGATCACATACTTTATGACATAAATGACATTTTTATCCAACAGAAATCCATTTTTACAGATTCGGCATAAGAAACTGAGGATGTTGTATGATAGGCTGAGAGAAAGAAAGTGACTGATATTTAAAACATGTAAATGTGATATCTTTCGCTACAAAATGAAACTTTGAGGCCTGACTGATTTTCAATAGAATAGAATAGAACAGTCCTTTATTTTCCTACAGTAATGGAATATCAGTTTTTCAGGGAACTGACACAGAAGTTAAAGCAGAAACATTAATAAACAAATAATACCAACAATAGAAACTATACACATTTGAAGAATATGCAAAGTAAAATATGAAATTGTAATAAGTAAAAACTGCAAAATGTATATCTTATTTTAGTTTGTGGAAAACTCTTGGTATTTACAGTTCAGGTCTACCTGGCTAGAAGAACACACCTGTCAAAACCTAATGAGGAAATATAAAAGGACTATACATTTGGAGAAAAAAAAGGAAAAATCCCCAAAAAGTTTGTTTACATTACATGAAAGGGCTCTTTATTATCATTACCATAATTGTATGATACTTCCACAAATGCTTTTTCAGATGGGTTTGGGATTTAGGCAGACCTCAACAAAATAAATATAATTTCCAGTCAACTTAATAGCCGAATAAAACAATTATTGAATGAATTGAAAAAGCAATTGTTGCTTTATTGCAATATGATCTCTAATGTATCTGTGTTTTCTAAACAAAGTTAGTTTTTACCCAGAAACCGACAAGAGATACTTTTCATGTGTTATTTTTTTCTTAAATGCCAGTATCTAATAATTAACAGCTGAGTTCATATTAAGTGCATCACAACCATCTGTGAATAAAACAGTTTTTCTTGTCCTTGGGTTATTTTTGTTATCTGTTAAAATAAAAGCTAAGAAAAGAGAAGGAGTTAATAAATTACCTCTGTTCGTGTCTGTCAGCATGGTTTGTCTACCATTTCCTAAGAAAAAAAAAATTCAAATGTACACAAAAACTAAAACACCAAGATAAAAAAGGACCAGTACTCTACCATTGTGGTCAGAAAATTGTGTTCTGTCTGAGGGAGAAAACATTTAAGTCATTAGAGGCAAAAAATGGATAAAGCTAAGTAATGGCTTATTGTTTTTTCTTTTTGTATAAGTTGTTTTTCAATGAAGGTACTACCTGTCTGCTCTTGGTGACCCCCGATGGCACTGCCTAATAAAGATGTTGAGGAAACTTGACATGAAGAGCAAAAATAGGGACTTATTTTAATTTAAGGATGATCTGTGGATTTTGAAAACCAAGATTTCACCTCCACCTACTTATAGAATGGGAGGAACCTGAGAAAGGCCTGGCCATTGGTTGATCAGATCCAGGGCTCAAAGAGGCGCCGTGTGATGCTGATTGGTCAATGCTTCCTGCAGAGTGATGATGAGAATCTTCACCACCAGGAGAGATAAAGAAGAATATAGAAAACTCTTAAAAGATGTTTTTACCCTGAAATAAAATAGCTGAAGTGGTCAGAAATGTTCTTCTGACGCATGTGGAGGAGGTGCACGTACCTGCAGGTGAGTCCACCATGATCTGTCCACCAGATGGCACTACTGTCACATCGGTACCAATCCCTAAAGCAGAAACATTGTGAATT